TTGCAAAGGGTGCCTCAACTCTGCGTGCCGGACTCCCACTTCAGGTAAGATCCTTGACAGTACGATCTGACCAAATGGAGTCTGCAGAGTTGAAGATTACCGTTGCAGCCTTGACCCAGCAAGTTTCCCAGCTCACCCAGGTTTTGCAGGGCTTACAGCAGGAGCTGGCTTCCCTTAAAGGGAGAGTAACCTATGACTCTGGACTTTCTGAACCGCTGGTTGCTCTACCCGAGAAATTTTCTGGGATCCGGTCTAAGTATGATACCTTCAAAGTTGATTGCGAGGTCCTGTTCTCCCTGAGACCACTTACCTATGCCACAGACGTCATTAAAGTGAGGACAGCGATTACCTTATTGTCGGGGCACCTTAAGATCTGGGCCCACCAGTTGTTACTCGCCAAAAGCCCAGTCCTAGATTCCTGGGAGTCCTTTATTCGGTCCCTGGGTTTACAATGCAACAAGACACAAAAGTCATATGTACATAGATCATCTACTGTTGCTTCACACATATTGCAACCCGGACTGGAAATGGACTACACTACTCCTTTCACTCGAACTGATGTTACAGCTAACCCTACCGCTCCCAAGTCTCCCGAAACATCGTATAAATCTGGCAGGGAGGCGGAGGAACCCATGGAGATTGGACTGGTTAGGTTCCGTCAGTCATCTCAAGAAAGGGCAAGAAGGATGGCGCATGGACTGTGTTATTATTGTGGGGAGATGGGACATTTAATATCTTTTTGTCCCATTCGTCCATCTAGGTCTCGGGTTCTCCGTCTGGGTACTACTCTGGCATATCCTATGAGACCTGTCTGCCAACATGCTGCCTGTCCTTGCTTGACCACTCTGTCCAATCCTCAGCCTTCTACAGTCGTTGCTCCTGAGGTTGTGCAGGAATCTGTTACTAAAGAACCTGAGATCTCTATTTCTACTAAAGATTCTGCTTCTAAGAAGGCAAGCACCACAACCACTACAAGTCCTGTCAAGGAAGACCCTCTTTCTGGCTGTACCTATGCCTCTAATGGGACTCTAGTCCGGAAGGAGGACTTGCAAGTATTTGAAAAGGCCCTACAAGCTATGACCTCTGCTCCTACTAGTACCACCAAAGCCAAGAAATCCAAAAAGTAACCTCCTGGGTCGTAAGTTGCGTTCCTCTTCTCGCCTACGGCGTCTTTGAAGGGGGGTAATGTCAGGATCACCATTGTGCTTTACACAATATTGTGTATTTGGGTCTGGCTGGGATCAAACCTGAGTTTCCTGCATCCCAGTCGGTATCCTTGCATTGAGCTCCACGCATCTTTGACTGTTTCTGGTTGTTCTTGGTATCCTGTAGTCTGAGCCTGTACGCCTGGAATGTGCACACCTGTTCCTGGTTCCTTGATGATTGGCTGAGACTCCCTATTTAAACCCCGCAAGGCTGGTTCTCGTGGTCAGATCGTGTTTCCTGTTCCTGTTTGGTTTCACTGCTGTTCATCTGACTCCTGCTTTTGATCCCCTGCTCGTCTACTGTTTTCGCCTGATTGCCGCCCGTCCTGACTTCTGATTCTGATACTGACTACTCTTCTGGATATCCTTTGTCTGTACTGCGTTCCAGGAAGCACTGGTTATTTCAGCCCCAGTGCACTGTGTCACAGCCTTGGGGATTTCTGTCCTGAGTCCCCTCGGTCTGTGTCGATTTGCAAAGGGTGCCTCAACTCTGCGTGCCGGACTCCCACTTCAGGTAAGATCCCTGACAATATAATCTAAATCTGCTAGAGGGGTTAATATCCATTGCATATGAATATGTATATACTGTAAATCCTGGGATATCGCCAAGATATTGTCTCGGTGATTAGTAGTAATCCCCTGCTCCATAGAAGGTAAACTTTGGAAATGGTGAACAATTGGATTGTCATTTACATCCATTCATAAAAATTGGAGATAGAGCTGATGGGATATGTGGATGAAAAACATATGGTACTCATCTTTGTGATCAATGTTTATCCACTAATAGTTGTAAAGGAGCAGATCTTTAAGAAAAATATTACCCTCCATTTTGAAATGCTGATACTTTACAAAATTGTAAAGTTTATGACAGGTCTATATTCTGTATCCTTTTTTTACTAAAATAAATCTGGGGTTGATAAAGTGGCTGGGTTATGGCCTCCTTGGCAATAAGGTCTGAAACCTTTTGTACTATCAACATCTGGTTGTAAGGGGGTGTGGTCTGGTCTCCGACCGAGATGGTCGTATAGTCCAAGAGCTCCTGTGAAGGGACCGTCTAATCCTTGTCAGGCAGGACCTTTGGCAGCATGAAGGCAAGTGGCAAGAAGCTGACCTGCAGGGATGCATCAGTGCCTTTGATTTTTGGCCGGAAGGGCAAGGGACCCAGGCGGACCCAAGATGGCGATGGAGAATCCCATGTGCAGAGGACCTGGAAGAGGCAGCATTGGATAACTTGATGTCCTGCACGGAGGACACAGCCCGCATCCTACTACAAATGCAAGCTGATAAAACCTACCTTGCCGAGGAGATTGCAAAGGGCACGCAAGCCCTGAACAGGGCCGCCATCAGGGCATGACAACCGCAACGGTTGTCATGGGCCCGGCGGTCCTTGGTGGCCCGGACTGCTCAGGTGGTCCGGGCCCCAGATTCAGTGGGTACAGCCGGGACGTCATCTTCCGGCTCCGGCATCAGTACGGTGCACGAGGGAGCTGAAGAGGAAGCACACAGAGAGTGCTCCCTCGCGCGCCGGCCCGCCCGCCCACCGCCAGTGTCAGGTAGGGGGAGGAATGAAATGGGAGATGGGGAGAAGGATTGGGGGTGGAAGGAATGAAATGGGGAGGAAATGAGATGGAGGGGAGGAATGAAATAATGAAATGGGGGAAATGAGATGGGGAGGAATGAAATTGAGGGAGGGGGGGGAAGGAATGAAGGTGGCAGAATGAAATGGGTGGGGGGGAAGGAATGAAATGGAGGGGGGAAGCTGAAATTAAATGGGAGAGGGGAGAAGGAAATGGAAGGTGGGATGAAATGAAATGGAGGGGGGGGAAGGAAAACGAAATGGAGGGGGGAAGGAAATGAAATTTGAGGAGGGAAGAAATTAAATCGAGTGGAGGGGGGACAGGAATTAAATTTGAGGGGAGTGAGAGGAATTTAAATTTGAGGGGAGGGTGGAAAAGGAATTAAATTTGAGGGAGGGGGGGAGGAGGGAAGGAAATGGAGGGAGGGGAGAGGAACCAAATCGGAGGGAGGGGAGAGAGGAAGGAAATTTGAGGGAGGGAGAGAGGAAGGAAATTTGAGGGAGGGAGAGAGGAAGGAAATTTGAGGGACGGGGGGAGAGGAAGGAAATTTGAGGGACGGGGAGAGGAAGGAAATTTGAGGGACGGGAGGAGGGGAAGGAAATTTGAGGGACGGGGGAGAGGAAGGAAATTGGAGGGGAGAGGAAGGAAATTGGAGGGGGGAGAGAAGGAAATGAGAGGGAGAAGAAGGAAATTGGAGGGGGGAAGAAGGAAATTGGAGAGGGAGGGGGAGAAGAAGGAAATTGAGGAGAAGAAGGAAATTGGAGAGGGAGGGGGAGAAGAAGGAAATTGGAGAGAGGGAGGGAGGGGGAGAAGGAAATTGACGGGGGGAGGGGGAGAGATTGACATCCATCACACACAATGCACACCTTGCACACAGAAAAACACACAATGCATTACACACAGACACACGTACACAAGCAATGCATCCCTTACACACAGCAACACACAATGCACCCCTTACAGACCCTTACACACACTGCATCCCATACATACACAAACTCATCTTGCAGCCCTTACACATACAAACACAGATTCACACAATGCATTCCTTACACACATCAGGACATCCCCCACACACACACTCCACTCCCTGTGAACAAACTCATTGGTGGAACATGAAGGTGGACCCTGGGACCCAGACCTTGAGCTGTGTAAAGGGCCCTCAAAAAAATGGAGCTGCTTCCCGTTCTCCCAGAACATTGATTTTTGTGACCACAGTTACAAACCGCCTCCAGAGAGCCTGTTGTACACCAGACCAGTGGAGCCAGACGGCAGCTAGAGCCCATCATCATCCTCATCTGGTTGTAAGTAGGCAATCTAGTATATTATTTGTGGCACTAATCTCTAATTTACCTCACATTAAAGGGACACTATAGTCCCCAGAACCACTGCAGCTTAATGTAGTGGTTCTGGTGTCTAGCCTGTCCCTGCATGCCTTTTAATGCAAACACCGCAGCACTGGTGTTAGTTAACATGGCAGATCATATGGGTGGGGCATTGTGATGTCACATGGGGGGGCGGCAAACTTTACTTTTGCCTAGGGCGGCAAAAATCCTTGCACCGGTCCTGCAGACACTGCATCCCTGTGGGCGGATTCGGAGGGGGGGGCACTTTGGGCGGACTCGGGTGCAGGCACCGGGGGGCCCAGACCTTGAGCTGTGTCAGGGGCCCCAACATTTCTGATGGCAGCCCTGGCCCTGAAGACCAAGATTCAGACGGCTGGCAATCGCACTGCGGAGTTGGAGGCTCGGGTGGAGCGTGTGGTACAGGCCCATAATGCCATGGCTGATTCCTCTGATGACCTTTGGGCTCGGTTGCACTGTTTGGAGGATCTGTTGGAAGACTTATCCAACAGATCCCGGAGATTCAATGTGCGGGTGCGGGACTTACCCGAGGCGTCAGGTGAGAGGAGCCTGTCGGGCCTACTGCTCAAAATTTTCCATCCACTGTTGCTGGACATCCCGGAGGGCAAGTGGGCCATCGAGTGAGAGGAGCCATTGGTATCACACCGCGCGAAGTCATAGCCCGCTTTCACCACTGCTCCACTGCCCAAGCTATCATAAGGAAGTGCCGGGGGTCGGAGGCCGCTTACACCGGGACGCCATTGCAGGTGTTCCAGGCTCCAGGTTCCTTGGCTCCCTCCCTCCAGGTTCTTTGGCTGCAGAAGAGACGCTTGTGGAAGCCTATTGCTGATGTCCTGCGGATGTAGGAGATCCAGTTAGCCTGGGGGCACCAGTTCAAGTTGCTTGCCTTCCGAGGATCGAGGACGGTGGTGCTGAAGCCTGGCGGAGACATTGCTGCATTCTGGAGGGTTCTTGACACTGAGGATCCCACAACTGATGCTGGCCTTCACGCTTCCGAGATTGCCCAGAGAGTGGGTGACCGGTGTGGATGGTGACAGGGCAGAGTCGAGGTCGACTGTAGACCGGCAAGGGCATCGCGAGCTGGGAAGCAGAGTAGCAATGGAGGTATTGTCAAGGGGTGGCCTTTGGGGGTCTTTGTCCTGGGTGGGGTATGGGTGGGTGGGGGATCCCTAGTGGATCCAGTTCAGGCACATGTTTTGCCGCCTTTGATATCGGATTGTGCAAGTGAGGCGGGGTGGGGGACAGGGTAATGGGTATGTTACACCAGACCAAGAGAAACTGGGGACTTTGAACACTCTTGTTTTCTGCGGAAGGGGTCAACGGCCACCTATGTCGACTGCTGCTGCTGGGGGTGTGCAGAGGGTCGGTTCCCAGGCCGGGGTACAGCTTTATTTTGCTTGGGGATTGGGTGTTGGACATGGTCACTCGACCAACTGCATATGCTCACTGTGTGTTTCTGTTATGGGATTTGGTAATGGGCTGGGGTTTCTTATGTAGATGTGGGCTGGGAGTGTTCTTCTTCCGGGGCAGTGTGGGGGGGTCCCTGGGCTGCCGCTGGGGGGTGGGGTGGAGGGGTTGGACCCGGTAGTTTGACTTCTCGCCATGGGCTGGGCGCCCTGTAGGTTACAATTAATAGAAAGAGGTATTAGCATTGGGTTTGAATTAGATGGGACAAGTTGCCTAGACAACTCATTCCAACAACAAATGACAAAAAAAAATATATAACACAAATAAAAAATACAAAACCAACACGAAAATCTGTAGAAACAAATGCATAATGAGACCCCACCTTCATAATCTAGAAGGTACACCGATGCCCACAGACCACTGGTAACAATTCTATGACGTAATGTTTGCGCTACGGGGTAGCCGCCACGGGGAGGATTTCACTCCCCCTAGAACCTGGCATCGGCTTATACCAGGGTATGACTTATGTAAATACCTAAGTTACCATTTTTCTTCTCTTCTTTTATTATTTTCTCTCTTTAATCCTCCTCTCCTCTCTAGTGAGTATGGTCAACATCATAGGCGTGCGCAGCCTATTGCTAAAGCACAAACACACGCCGCATGTATATATATATATATATATATATATATATACACACATACACACATATACATATACTGCTGTTTGTGTGTGTGTGCCTGCTGTTAGTGCGCTGTGTGAGGGTGCTGAATGTGTAAGGGTGCTGTTAGTGTGATGTGTGTGTGAGGGTGTTGGTAGTGTGCTATGTGGGTGAGAGTGCTGGTAGTGTGCTGTGTGTGAGGGTGTGGTTCGTGTGTGAGGGTGCTGTTTGTGTGCTGTGTGTGAGGGTGCTGGTAGTGTGCTGTGTGTGAGGGTGTTTGTGTGTGTGTTATGGTCCTGTTAGTGTGCTGTGTGTGAGGGTGCTGTTTGTGTCGTGTATTTGTGAGGGTGCTGTTAGTGTGCTGTGTGTGAGTGTGCTGTTTGTGTGAGGGTGCTGTGTGTGTTTGTGAGGGTGCTGTTAATGTGCTGTGTGTGAGGGTGTTGAGTGTTTGTAAGGGTGTTGTGTGTGTGTGTGTGAGGATGCTGTGTGTGTGGGTGCTGTATGTGTGAGGGTGCTGTTTGTGTGCTGTGTATGTGAGGGTGCTGTTTGTGTTGGGGTGCTGTATGTGTGTGGGTGCTGTGTGTGTGGGTGCTGTATGTGTGTGTGTGCTGTTGGTGTGCTGTGTGTGAGAGTGTTGTGTGTTTGTAAGGGTTATGCTGTGTGTGTTTGTGAGGGTGCTGTTAGTGTGCTGTGTGTGTGTGTGTGAGGATGCTCTGTGTGTGAGGGTGCTGTATGTGTGCTGTGTGTGAGGGTGCTGTTTGTGTGCTGTGTTTGTGTTAGGGTGCTGTATGTGTGTAGTTGCTGTGTGTGTGTGGGTGCTGTATGTGTGTGTGTGCTGTATGTTTGGAGGGATTGTGAAGGTGGGTGCTGTTAGTGTGCTGTGTGTGTGTGTGGGAGGATGCTCTGTGTGTGAGGGTGCTGTATGTGTGCTGTGTGTGTGGGTGCCGTTTGTGTGCTGTGTGTGAGGGTGCTGTTTGTATGCTGTGTATGTGAGGGTGCTGTTTGTGTTAGGGTGCTGTATGTGTGTAGGTGCTGTGTGTGTGTGGGTGCTGTATGTGTGTGTGTGTGAGGGTGCTGTTGGTGTGCTGTGTGTGTGAGGGTGTTGTGTTTAATGGGGATTGCTGTGTGTGTTTGTGGGGTGCTGGTGTGCTGTGTGTGTGTGTGGGAGGGGATGCTCTGTGTGTGAGGGGTGTATGTGCTGTGTGTGTGGAGTTGCCGTTGTGTGTACTGTGTGTGGGGGTGCTGTTTGTGTGCTATTGTATGTGGGGTTTGTGTTAGGATTATGTGTGTGTGTGGAGTGCTGTGTGTGTGTGGGTGCTGTGTGTGTGTGTGTGAGGTGCTGTTGGTGTGCTGTGTGTGAGGGTGTTGTGTGTTTGTAAGGGTGCTGTGTGTGTTTGTGAGGGTGCTGTTAGTGTGCTGTGTGTGTGTGTGTGTGAGGATGCTCTGTGTGTGAGTGTGCTGTATGTGTGCTGTGTGTGTGAGGGTGCTGTTTGTGTGCTGTGTTTGTGTTAGGGTGCTGTATGTGTGTAGTTGCTGTGTGTGTGTGGGTGCTGTATGTGTGTGTGTGCTGTATGTTTGGAGGGATTGTGAAGGTGGAAGCAGATTAGTAAATAACCCCCCTCCCTTCTTACCTTATGTAGGGGGATCCTTGCTGTCCAAGGGAGAGTGAACGGCAATGCTCAGATCTCGCGAGAGGAACCAGGCGGAGCTTCTGTCTAGAGCTCCCCGGGACCTCTCCTGCCTCCCTCTATGCTGCTGTGGGCTGGTGAGGTAGATCTTTGATCTCCCCGCCGGCCCATGGAGGCTTAGAGCAGAGCCGCCACTCAGATAGTGCCAGCTCTGCATGAGCCGACAGGGGAGATCCAGAGATTTCCCCTGCCGGCAGGTGTCAAGTCCTTGGGAATAAAGTGTGGGAACTCTCCCAAGATTCCCACCCCCCAAAAAAAATAATATAATTTTGTGTGTGTATATATATATATATATATATATATATATATATATATATATATATATATATATATATATATATATATATATATATATATATATATATATATATATATACAAAAATTTACAAATTCTGGCACTCTTCCCCAACAAAATCTCAAAAACAAAATTCGGACCAAGGTGCTTTCTCAGTGCAAAATATGCAATCCATATATATACGCATACACACAAATACACTCACACACACATACTCAGACACACACTTACAGACACACACACATACATTCACAGACACACATAGACACATACACATACATTCACAGACACACATACACACACACACACTTACAGGCACACATACATTCACAGACACACACTCACAGACACTCACACACACACACATTCCCAGACACACACACACACACTTACAGACATATACACTCACAGACACACACATATATTCACAGACACACATACACACACTTACAGGCACACACACATACATTCACAGACACACACACACACACATTCACAGACACACACACTTACAGACACATACACACACACATACATTCACAGACACACACACATACACACTTACAGACACGTACATTCACAGACACACATACACACATACACAAATTATTATTTTTTTATTAAAAATTGTCCACCCAGCCTCCCTACCTGGAGAGCTGGCGTGGACCTGTCCCTGGGGTCCAGTGGGTCGGGTGCCTACAACGCGTTCCTGCAGGACTCACAGGCGTGCCGCGGGGATTAGGGTGTGCCCAGGCACACCCAGAACACCCCGTGTGCATGCGTATGGACAACATGCGGGGTCAAGAGGGCCTACCACCACTGGTACTTACGGCCATTCCCAAGGCCCAGGATTAGACGAACATTTCACCCTCTCCAATGGGTCTTAATGTATTGTCACTGAATGTAAAAGGGTTAAATGCCCCTAGGAAGAGGCACCTATTGTATAAGGAATTAAACGACAGGCAGCCATTGCATTCGTTTAGGAGACTCATCTAACAAGGACATCCCACATCACTCTCTAGAAAAGGAATTTTGATAGGTCATATGCCTCTGGATCGTTCCTGTGACGGAGCCCCTGGCACTCCGACTGGGTGCCTAGGCCAATCGCTGCTTCCTAGCTGTCGCTGAGTACCATAAGCACCGCACTGGACACCATAAGCACCGTAACCCCTTAGCCGCTGCAGCTTGGTTGGGGTCTCGCCATCCCTTCTCACCCTGGACCAAACTGCTGGATTCAGCTCCCAGTGAGAAGACCTCTCCTTCAAGCGAGTATAGCAGGTATAGCAGTGTAGCTCTTATAAGAGCTAGTGATTATAGCAATCCAAAAGAACAATCCCAAGAGCAGGGATTATAGCTGGTATAGCAGGTGTATCCCATGCAAGACTTACATGCAGGTCCCCATGCAAGACTACAGTAAAAACATACACACAATTACATTGGCTCTCAGGTCCAGGACACTCCCATACAAAATAGGTCAATCCCTCCCCTGTGCCTGAGAGATAATTGAGTCAGGAATTGTAATAAGTTGTGTAGAATGGCACTGGAAGTCCAGCAGTGTTCTGGAGTTTCAGTGTCCCAAAACAGTTCCATAAACTCAATGACCAAACACCGCAGCCTGAGTTCGCAGGAACAACATATCCAAAAATCACCCAGATCGCTTCAAGGGTTCAGGAATTTCCTGGAAGTCTTATTTTTGCCACACCGTGCACATGGTCCCATGCCCAAAACAGTTCCATACACTCAACGACAAAACACCGCTGGACAATTTAAGATGGCCGCCACCATCTGTTCCAGTTAAAAGTCCAAGGGGCAGAAACATTACTTTTGAACATGGGTTATCACAGGGCCCATAGTCTCAGGGTAGGAGGTTGGCAAACAGGCCCCTCCAAAAACCAGTGGCGAAGTGGATTTCATCACAGGGGGCAAATGACAAATGCCTCAGGAACTTCATAGCAAAATGCAAACTGGTAGATATATTGAGGGTGCACCACCCAGGGGATTGTAACTACACATTCTATTCCGCCCCCCATGGGACTTATTCCCACACTGACCTTTTTTGGGTCTCCCAGAAAACTGTGGTCCAGGCAGCGGACATCGGGTCCATTTCTTGGTCAGACCATGCAGACTTACACCTCTCATTGAGAGGCTTTTTGTCCCCAATGCGCTGGACATGGAAAATTAATACTTTGCTCCTGAGAGATAGTGAGGTTGTGGCGGACCCAAACACCGCTTTGGAAGAGTACTTCCTCTTAAATACACCAACGAGGTGGACGCAACCACAGTATGGTCCGCGCATAAGGCGGTCATTAGGGGCCTGCTATTTAAGATAGTTACACACAAGAAGAGACTTAAAATGAAAAAGATTTGCGACCTCCAGGAGGTGCTCCGTCGGGCAGAGGAGCAACACAAAGCAGTGCCGGAGACACTAGGAGAATTCGGACCAAATTAAAAAGGGTCCTTCTAGATGGTGTAGCTCGAGATATGACCTGGTCTCGCAGGTTTTATTCTGAAAACGAGGTTGGTCACCATGTTTAACGCTGCGAGAGAGGGGGAGCCACTGTCCCAGGAGATGACACTAGGAAATATTGTGTTACTACCGAAGGAAGGGAAGGACCTTTTGGAAGTGGGCAGCTACAGACCGATCTCACTGATCAACGTAGCTGCTAAGATTCTGGCAAAAGCATTGGCCACCAGATTAAAGCCCTTGATGCAGCGGTTGATCCTCCCAGATCAAGTCGGATTCAAGTCTCCAATTATATGAAAATACAAGACGGGTGGTGGAACTGGTTTGGTACATGGAGTGGTTTCCGAGCGCCTTCTCTGCTCCTCTTTTTGGATGAGGACAAGGCGTTCGACAGGGTTGAATGGCCGTACTTGTTTTTGATATTGGAGCACTGGGAATTCCCCGCCTCGTTTGAGTTTGCGGTGGGGGGCCTTTACAGGGACCTGAGGGCACAAGTAGTGTTGCCGGGGGATGATGGCAACACCTTCCTCATAGGTAACGGGTGCCCCCCTTTTGTTCGCCATTGCGCAAGAACCTTTTCTGCAGCGGATTTGAGAGGCTCCAGAAGTGCGGGGGATGAAGGTCAAGGGGGAGGAATACAAGGTGGCGGCCTACGGTGACTTGATCCTCACTCTCTCGGACCCGCTTATGTCTCTGCCCCCCGATAAGGTCAATTTAACCAAATCAAGCTCTTTGCCACTGCACCTGTCAGCTGCTCTTCCACGCAACTCTCCCTAACAGACTGAATTAAGTACCTGGGCATAATAGTTACGAAGGGTTGTCAGAACCTCCATAATGCCAACTATCAATCCCTGTTCCATACAATTAAGAGGGATTTGTAGGCCTGGGGATCCAGACCAATCTCTTGGATAGGATGCATCCATAGCGTGAAGATGAATGGTCTCCCATGGCTCCTATTTCTGTTTTAGGAACTTCCCCTGCCGTTAAATAAGATCGGACCTAGATACGATACAGAAACACATCGACACATTCATATGGGACAAACGACACAGATTAGATAGGAATATGTTGTATCGACCTAAGATGAGAGGGGGATTAGGTTTGCCAAATCTCCTTATGTATTATTATGCAGCTCAATTAGCTCAGCTTGTAATGTGGCAAGCGATTCCAGGGGAAGGACACTGGGTGGTTTACAGAGGCACCTCAATTTATGGGATGGAGATGAGCTAGTTACATTTGACACGTTGAAGCAGAGAGCCCGACTCAACAATCATGACTATTTCTGTTACCTTCAGATCAGAGACTATGCCCAACGGGAGGAGGTCTTGGGGACGAGGGGGTACTAAGCCTATTCTCTTTGAGATAGAAGGGGATTGAATACGGATATTTACACAGAGATATGCTCCACAGCTGAAGTGTGTGGGGTCCATTACGCTATGTAGAGCAGTGGGAGAGGGACCTGGGAGGAGAGATTGAGGGGGAGGAGTGGCAGAATATGTGAGAGGCTGCGGCGAAGGTCTTGTTGTGTGTGATTTCACAAGAACAAATGTACAAGATTCTCTTTAGATGGCACACCACCTATCCAGTTGCATGGGATGGGCATACATCCCACTGATGACTGTTGGCGGATGTGTGGAATGAGGGGAACATATCCCCATATGGGGTGGTTTTGTCCTGTCCTGACACTGTTCTGGGGGGACATCCGATCTTTACTCAGGGAGGTCTTCCAGATACCATTCAAGCTGGACCCCTGGCTGTTTTTACTTTCCAAACCCCAAGAAGGTATGACCCACTGGGAGCAGAAAATGTGTAATAAAATAACTCGGGCTGCGAGGAGAGTCCTGGCGGCTCGCTGGTTGCAACCCTCCCCCCGTCAATAGGAGAGATCAGAGCCAAGATACAGGACAACCACTTAATGGACCAGCTAACAGCAACACTACATAACTCCTTTCCCTCGTTTAATAAGGTATGGGAACACTGACATGGATATAAATATAGAGTATAATGTCTCTCTTCCGGCGATGTCCTAGCCACTCTTAGATTCCAACTGGGGCCCCTACGACCCACTGAGGTTCACATAACCAGTTGAGGATTATTAGAGGGGTGTCATGAGTTTTAGGGGCTCTTGAGAGTGGAGGAATGAGGGGTCGGGGGAGGCAGAAGCTGTGAGAGGGGAGGGATCATGCCCCTATGCCCAGTAAACAGAATCCCGAACCCCACCCCCGGTGAGTTGATTTCCGAGCGTACGAGAGCTCCACGCAATGATCAGTAATCCCAGGCCCACAAATAGTGACCCTGAATTTGGCTAACAGGAGTTACTTCGAAACCGTCACTGGTAACCCTTACAACCCCCATCTATACTCACCTTTTTTTCTGTTACCTTTCTTTTTTGTTCATCTTTATGGCCAATACCTTTCATTCCAACCATGGCTATCCACGGTAAGGCACAAAAGACATACTTAAGCAGCTATTTCTCATCTATTCACACTCGCTGACAATCAGATTGTATTGTCAGATTGGTTTATCTCTACATATTGGTATTTGGATTCCTACTACTGTTAAGTTATTTTTATATATTACAACAAAAACCTTGTCGGCAGATTATGAACTGTTCATTCTGCATTTATGGGACTCTACTGCGTAAGATACAGCTTCACTGGATTTAATACATTGTTCACTGTACTGGCATGACACCTGATGTGACTATTTCATCAACGCTTTGTACGATGTGTTTTGATCTCTGTAAGACGGCAATTTAAAATAAAGTATTTTTTTTAAAACATCTGGTTGTAAGGGTCTTACCTGGAGGTGGAAGTCCGAAGTGATGAGTTAAGGCACACCTTTGCAGTTTAACATAAACCGAGGAGACTCTAGGAAGAAATCTCCAAGGTTATGAAACAATGTCAGCATTAAATAATGATTTCCTATGGGGATGTCTAATGCGCGCGCACAGCCATTGCCGCATATGCGCATCAGATCTCCCCCGGCCAGCAGCCGGCAGTGGGGGAGGAGCATGGGAGGAGGTGAGCCAGCGCTGGACCCAGGTAAGTGACTGAAGGGGTTAACCCCTTCAGCGCCACGGAAGGGGGCCTTGACAGAAAAGGGAAGCTACAGTGCCATGAAAACAAGTTTGTTTTCCAGGCACTATAGTTTCCCTTTAACTTCAAAACTCAAAATATGCAATATAAATCAACAATAAATAGATGTAAAAAATATACCAGTCACTTCAATTAGATATTAAAAGATGAACTTATATTTTAAAAGCATAACACTTGCTGGATTTTCATATCCGTAATTCTCATGAAAATCTTGTTAAACTGTCCCAACAAAATATTGTCTGACTCTATCTGACCTTACCTTGCCCCAAACTAAATTATTAACCTGTCTATGTCCAGCAATGGATATTTCCAGAGCTGACTATAAATACAGGTTTTGACTGAAGGGTGAATTTAGGTACTCACTGAGAGTTTCCAGAGTTGGAGAAAATTGATTTTAAAAAAGCTGATTCACCTGTTAACTGAAAGATGTACTCGTTGTGGAAGTGTAATAAATAAGATACTCTTGAGGTCTAGACTTTGATTCAGTCACAATTCTTTATAGATAGGAAATCTAAGTATAGATCTTTAAATATCAGTTCTTTTTTAACATCACTGGCACAAGAATGTAATAGCTCAGTTGGTGGAGAAATGGGCTGCAAACAATTTGTAGCTTTATATATTATAACATTCATAATTAATTAATTCATTAATCAAGTTAATTTAATTAAGTATTTAGTAAAATAAAAGAGTAACAAATATTCATTTAATTTAGGCCAAGCATCAGACATTGCACTTACACATATATCATTGACTTCTTCATTGGCGTTTCCAAAAAAAATAAATAAAAAATAAGACCATCTTATATTATGTGATCTGTCTTCATAATGATTTGACTCATATTGTTATTTTGTATTATAGGACTTGACTTAATATTTTTGGATAAGCTTTTCAACGTAAAAAAATAATTAGAGGGGGGGCGGAGCCAGCAGCCATACTGTGAGGACGCATCTCCTTCGAACTTCGAGCAAGAACGTCGATATTAAGCATTTATCAGGGGAATTTCCTTACCTACCTGCACACAAAGCTGCTATATACCTCGCTGATGGCATGGGACGTCGTAATAAGAAATATAAAGCTGAGATACCCCCTGCAACAGCCTACATTGGCGAGCTCCTGAGAAGGCCACAAGCCACTGGAAGGCCTGAAATGGCGCCAATGTCAGATGGACTCTCATCCAGCGACGAGATCTCGGCTTACAGGGAGGACTACGACACTAGGGTACCTACTAGACCTGTGCCCCCAATATCCGCGCCAGCTGCAAAGCCTCCTGTCACAGAGGACATGTTGCGGAGCCTCTTAGACGAGCTACGCCGGAACATAGTGACCGATATCGGGCCGTTCTGGGAACAAATTAACGGAGTCTCAGCACGCCTGCAACATACAGAGCTGACCTCTGCGAACCAAGAGAACTGCATACAATCACTGGAGAGACAGATGTCAACCCTACAGTGCAACCAGACACTAACCCCTAACTATGGCAGTAATAGCAGACAACAGGTGCTGGAAAAATATCAAAATCGGAGGCCTGCATGACATACTAGAGCCTGCTGAATTTCCACACCTATTTCGCAGGTTGCTCAATGCACTATTCTTTGCCAGACAAACTAAGGCGATGCCTCTGGATGGATGGTACAGAATCCCCAAACCAGCCACAGGCTCCCTGGGTACTAGCAGAGACACCATCGTCCGCTTCCAGCAGGGTCAGGACCGTCGGCCCTTCATGGCGGCCATCCGTAACAGATCACCTTTTCAATTTGAGGAACACTCCTTAAAATGTTTTCCTGACTTGTCCAGAGCTACCCTGGAGTGGCAACGCTCTCTACGCCCACTAACGAAGGAACTCATTGCCCATAAAATACTGTACCGCTGGGGAGTGCCAATAAGTCTAACCATGCTGAAAGAAAATGGCAACCTGAAAATCACTACTGCTGCCGAAATCCCTGATACTCTGCAGACCCTTGGACTACCCTCGCAAGTAGCTGCAGTTCTGTCTCAGCCGAGGAGATCCATCGTCAATCCATTGCGTTCTATGAAGAAGTAAGTAGAAGGATAGATCAGGGTGTTGCAGTGGATGTGATCTATTTGGATTTTGCCAAGGCATTTGATACAGTTCCACACAATAAATTAGTGTTCAAGCTCAAGGAAATCAGTCTAGATGAAAATGCTTGTTCTTGGGTAGAACATTGGCTTAAAAATAGAGTACAAAGAGTTGTCATTAATGGTAAATGTTCAAACTGGACCGAGGTGGCAAGTGGTGTCCCTCAGGGTTCTGTTCTGGGACCCCTTGTATTTAACATGTTTATAAATGATCTTGAAAAAAGCATTAAAAGTCATGTTTTAGTGTTTGCAGATGACAAAAAAACTCTGTAAAATAATACAAAGTGAGCAAGATATTACCTTGCTGCAGAGGGATTTAGATAGACTGGTGGACTGGGCACTCAAATGGCAGATTAAATTTAATGTTG